GTAGAATGTAGAACATTGTCTTTATAAACTGTGTTATGCCAACTGAGCTAGATGTTCCCTGAGACCATGGTCCCCACAGCCCTCTGCTCAGCAATTCAGTCCCTCAGGGAGTTTGGAAGTGTCTATGGAGCTTCCATGACCTTTCCTTGTACAAGTTGTGCTGGCTTCCCCAGTAATGTGTACTGTCTTACCGAAAGAGTAGTTTTTGCTGTGTATCTTAGTTATATAGTGCTACTATAACAGAAATACCACAAGTGGATGGTTTTAACAAAGAGAAATTTATTCTCTCACAGCCTAGTAGGCTACAAGTCCAAATTCAGGGCGTCAGCTCCAGGGGAAGCCTTTCTTTCTGTGTCAGCTCTGGAGGAAGGTCCTTGTCATCTATCTTCCCCTGGTCAAGGAACTTCTCAGTGCAGGGACCCTGAGTCCAAAGAATGCGCTATTCTCCTCGCTCTTGTTTCTTGGTAGTATGAGGCCCCCTGCCTCTCTGCTCGCTTGTCTCTTTTATATCTCAAAAGAGATTGGCTTAAATTGTAGATTAATCTTATAGATTGAGTCTGTATAACTGCTGCTAATCCCATCTCATTAACATCATAGAGATAAGATTTACAACACATAGAAAAACCACATCAGATAACAAAATGGTGGACAATCACACAATGTTGGAAATAATGACCTAGCCAAGTTGACAGATATTTTGGGGGGACGCAACTCAATCCATGACACTGTGCCTGAATTATTCTATTCTCAGTGTCTTAGGGTTCTCTAGAGAGCCTGAACCAGTAATATATATAAAATAGCCACAACAGTGAACTCAAACCCCAAACATACCTATGATCCTGAAGATGGTGCAGGAAAGGGAAATGTTTTGTTGTTATATGTAAGGTCACCATGAGTTGGCGGTGACTCAACAGCAACTAACAACAAATCATGTGTATATATATAGAGAGAGATTATTTTAAGGATTTGGCTCATGTTATTGTAGGGAGTTGACAAGTTCAAAATTTGTGGATCAGGTGACAGCCTGGAGACCCCTGCAGTCTAGTGCCCCAAAATCCATAGGCCAGGTGATGTGAAGAGTGAGGGGGTTCTGGCAACATGTCTCTTTATAGTCTGGAAGCAGAACACATCTGCAGGTGATTGGATAAGGCCCACCCACATTTTAGAAGGTGTCTTAGGCTGGGTTCTCTAGAGAAGTAAAACCAGCAAAGCATATAAATATATATATATAGAAAGAGATTTACATCAAGGAAATGGCTCACGCAGTTATAGAGGCTGGAGCGTTCCAAGTCCGTGGGCCAGCATAGAGGCTTCTCCTGATTCACGTAGCTGCAGCGGCTGGTGAACCCAAGATCAGCAGGTCAGACAGCAGGGCTCTTGCTCACAGCCTTCGAAGATCGATGAATAGAGCAGCTTGCACGGTATATCTAATTATTTCTGAAATTTCAGGCCACGGTTCATTGGCTCAGGGTCTGTTTTTTAGCAGGTCTGTCAAACACATTCTTGATTGCACCCATGAAGTCTGGTCTTGGATCCAACCCTTTACTGCCCACTTTGAGAGCTCATAGTGGAAGGATGACCAAGCAATGGTGGGGCT